GAGAGAGAGAGAGAGAGAGAGAGAGAGAGAGAAACATCAATGTGCAGTTGCTGGGGGCCGTGGCCTGCAACCCAGGAATGTGCCCTGGCTGGGAATCGAACCTGGGACACTTTGGTTCCCAGCCCGCGCTCAATCCATTGAGCTATGCCAGCCAGGGCTTCTTTTTCTAATATATATTTTTTAAAGATGGACAACAGTGTGGTGATTGTGGAGGGAAGGGGAGTGGGCAAATGTGGAAGAGGGTGCAAGGGGGATCAATGGTAATGGAAAAATATAATAAAAATAAACGATAAAAATAAATGACAAGATTGTTTTTATGTTCATCTCTCCCCATTCCTAAGTTCACCCTATGCCAAGAATGGCATATATAAATATTTCAAAATATGATAATAGTTGCCTCAAACTGGAATAAATCTCAATATGATGATGATGGTGCACTATTTATGAAAAAGCAATGGACTCAGGCTTTATTATGCTGTGGAAAAGAGAAAAAATAAGTGGGGATGATTACCAAGCAAGATATACAGGTACAAAATAACCTGATTCCAAAAGAAATGACTTTATCCACATGGACATTGGAACTCCATTATCCAAATGTGAAGTGCTATTTCGAGACACTCAGAATCCTCAGGACGAGAACATTTGTCAACAAAACCTTGTCCACATCCCAGCAGTGTGTGGTTGTAAATGCTGTGCTACAGTTAGGAGAGGCTGGAAAACCCATCAGCATATGGTTCCTTTTTGCAGATTGCCCGTAGCATCCTATTGTTTATCTCGGTGAAAATTTAAAATATTCCAGGAACAATGGACGAAGCCTCATTTGTATTCTTTCATAATTTTTTGGTTTTGGTCAGAATGCCCTGGTGACTGGGATTCAGAATACAGAGAAGGCACTGAGTTTATGAAATTCATACTTGTCTTTTGCAGACTTCGCTGGCTGTAGGGAGTCTCTGAAAATGTTGTTCCAGACATGAAATGCTGTACCTGGGATGGGATTTTACCCCAGTTTCCTTGAAAGCTTGAGAAACAGAACTAAATCAAAATCAAAATCCTATCCTGGAGGGCCACCAGCAGTTGTAATTCTGACAGAATCTGAACATCTTAGGGACAGACGCCCCTCATTCTGAGAAAAGCACTCCAAAGAGACTTTAGTTTAAAAAAAATATGAGCAAAGACACTTATGAAACAGAGACCAGTGGTACTGTGGTTTCATGATGAAAAAGCACGTGGCCTGGGGGGTAAGGGCTGCTTTGGGGAGGCCAGTCGACTCCGTGGGTTTTAGGTGCAGGATGGCAGAAATGAGGATCGGATCGGAGGGATGGATATCCGTCCACAGCTCCTAGTGGGCTGAGGCTCTGTGGCTGGACTGAAGGCCACGTGTTCTCATGAGCTGTCGTGAAGCTACCCACTTGTAAGTGCCTTTTGTAGCTCTCCATATTGAGAGCCCTCATTGATTCCAGTAATTCTTCAATGAATTCTTTTAGAACTTCTAAGTTCTGTAACTCCACTAGTGATTATGTTATTGTTTCCTTTCATTTGCTCTTATGATTCTTTTATTTCCTGGTATAAGGCAGGTTCTTTTCAAACTGGTTAAAACAATACAAATAAAATGGCGTGGCATTTTGAACAGCAATTTTTTTGAAAGCATGGATTTGAGAGTTGAGAACCTAGAAGCAGGTCGCAAGCTCAGGAGCTATTAGAATAATAGTGCTGGAGTGAAGCAATGATGCCCAACCTTAGGACCCTGCCAAAGGGAGCAGGAAGAGGCACAACCAAGAGTGATTGTGGATTAAGATGGGGCAAGACAAGAAGCAAGAAATCACAACAAGGCCTTAGTGTAATAACAAAAGGTATGCAGTTTTACTAAAACCAGAAAAATGACAGCACTTTGAATAAATACTGCTAATCATTATAATACAGTCCTTTGAAAAGAATTGAAATGCTTGACATGAATTAGAATTATCAGACAGTTCTGATAATAAGGGATTGAGAGAAATTAGAAAATGTAATTTTCTATTCCGTAGTATATTTTACTGTAGCTGTATCTAAAATACCTTTTGAAATTCTTTATAATCCATTCTTATTTGCAAATCATGGTACCTATATGCTCCTAGTTGCCAACCGTGGCCTTGGAAAGGAGGCGCAAAGTCCTGAAGGGGTCTCTCCACCTACATGGCCTCATCTGGTGTCAACATCCCCTTCCACATGACACTCCTAACTCTCTGAACTCAGTGTGTTATCTCCCAGGGTGAATCTGCACAGGCGGACCAGTGAGATGATCTCCCTTTCCTTGTCTACATGGGGAAATGGTGTCATCCATCCTCTATTCAACTCCTCCCTCGGGCCATGTTCCAATCTTTGAGGGATGGAGTGGGACTGACCAGGTGACTGCAGATGGGTCTGAGCTCTCCTGCACACTTGTGCAGAGCCTCGGACATTTACAGTTAAGTCTACGAAAAAGCCGTGGTGTCTGTGGAACGGAGACATGCTCATTGCCTTTGTGTGAGACCAGGCCCCCGTTACTGAAGGGAAACACACACACACACACACACACACACACACACACACACAACATACACTGCTCCTGGAACGGGAGAACAGCTTGTACGGACCACGTTACTTCCCTTGTTTTCCTATTTGGTTTACAGAAGGAAGAACAGGAGCGCGTTTCTAAACTTAGAAGATTAGGGAAAGTGGGTGTGGGGCAGGGCCTAGGAGACTCTCCAAGGAGGTGGGAAGGTTGGAAGTGCTAGAAGAAAACTCATCTTGCTTCCAAGAATGAAAAGTGACTTAGTGTCTAAACAAATATGAATGAAGCTGAGGAACAGTGAGATATGTACCTGGCGAACACCAGATTAAATAGTTCTGGGGATCCAACAGCACTTCTGTGTCCATGTGAGAAATATAAATATAAGCCTTACTTAAGGATTTTAAGGAGAACAAGCACTAGATTAATATAAGACCTTATGGCAGTGCGAGGCCTAGTAACTGCATAAAATATGAATCAAGTTTTTAACAAATTAATAAAATAATTCTTGAAAATGAAAAAATTGTGGACCAATAGTTCCGACCTAAAATCAAGATGAATCTATAATGCCATACACAACTTTTCCCAGTAAAAGCAGTCAGTAATCACTCAGCTTAAACTGCAGAGAAAAATAAATACTATATCATTTCCACTATTTTTAATCAACTCTTACAGGAAGCTCTTATTTATGCTTATTTAAATAATGCTAAGAATTCTGAGTGTATTGGTTAGGCACTGGAATATATTAGCAGACCATGAAACATTATAATTTTTAAAAATGAGTTTGGGGTGGAGTTTTGGAAATAAAAATGATCTCTATATTATTTTAAGTTACAATTAATTTTCACCTTGTAGTTTTGCCATGAGTTTTATAATTTAAGATTAAATACATTCTTATCCAGTATTTTATAGTTCTCTTTTTAATAATTCTCTAAAATATTGAGGCATAAAATTAAGGAATCAAGGACAATTTTTCTAATATTGAATCAAATATCATTAAATATATATTTTTGTTCAATTATTTATTCTATGTCATTACAATATATGAAATACATGTATGTGCTCAAAACAGCAATATCACATATATTTAAACATTCTTGACTCTGAGCAGATTGATTTCCAGTGAATCTTTGAAATCTTTGAACAGCAGTGCACCTTACTGCATCCCTTTTATTTTAGACAACAAAACAAAATATTTTACCAACAGTTGGCCAATCCTAGTTATTATAACTTCTCCACACAGACCGTCACCAGCTGAGCTAAAACAGCAGCTGTCCGCTGGAAATAATTGAGGAAATGTTTTGCCCATTGGACTGAAATCAAACATATGTTTTCCTATAACAACTAAAATGTAACTTTCTTTTTTGATATGTGTTCATTATTGAGGAGAGTTAATTACAGAGTTATACACCTGGACTGTCAGACTGGATAAAATTCCAGCCTCTTTTGAGTGGGGATTTTCATATGTATTTCAATTTTTATTGTTTCAAATATTTGAGCTAATAAGTGTATATTCTTTAATAATTCCTTTTGACACTTTTAAAAATTTAACATTTGTCAAAGATCATGTCTATACAGAGCAGAGGGAGTAAAAAGCTCATTTTTCCCATATCTAATCAGTGTTGGGAGCTACTTTAAAAATACCATGGCAAATAGTCTTTAGCTGGGATGATAATAATTTTCTTTGATAATAATTATATGGAAGGTATTATGAGAAGCTTCACAACTTACCTTCTCTGTTTGTATAAATTCTTCAAGCATTTCACCCTGGCTGGTGTGGCTCAGTGGCCTGAGCTCTGGCTTGGGAACCAAAGGGTCACTGGTTCAATTCCCAGTCAGGGCATATGCTTGGGTTGCAGGCCAGGTCCCCAGTAGGGGGTATTCAAGACGTAACCATATATTAATGTTTCTCTCCCTCTCTTTCTCCTCCCTCCCTTTCTGTCTAAAAATAAATAAATAAAATCTTTTTTAAAAAATTCTGCAAGCTTTTCAATTAGTAGACATTTTTAAAAAACTCATAATGTAGCAAGTTTCAACATCTTGGTTTCTATGTCCAAGTATATTGATTATTATTATTTTTTGTATGTGGAGTGCTTATCCAGCTTGCTTTCAAAGGCTTTTTTTAATTTTAGCGTTTTGTTATTAAGCAATCAATAAAGAGCATAGTCATCCCTCCGAGTGGGTCACTTAAAACACTTAACACATTTGCCTTTATTGTTACAGAGCTATGGATAAGTGCTGGGTTCAGTCAGAGAATAGAATTGACAAAGTAGATTATACACCATTCAAGATTCCTCAAGATCATGGCACCTACCAATAAGTGCACAGCTTTCATCCTAAAATTAAAATAATGATGGTTCCATATGGCCATGCAGTGTGTCTAATACATTTTCCCATCCAAGTAGACCTGGCTTCTCAGGAGAGTAACCTCTGTGAAGACCCCTATAGATCATAAGAAACAACAAGACCTTACCTTCTGTATAGTAATGATTCCTTCCTGCGTGTCTTTGTCAACAGAAATCTTGAAAACCCCCAGGCCGTCGCCATCCACAATCCTGTATTCCATCTCGGCGTTAGGTCCTATGTCTGCGTCGGCGGCTTTGATCCGGGCCACCACGGAGGCCACGGGCAGGGATTCAGGGACATTGTATTGGTAAGATCCTTTAAAATTCAAAACAGAAATGAGCAAGACCTTGTACCAAGCTAGACAAGGAAAAAAATGTAACTATGTTTGTATCATCTTTGGTTAACTGGATTTTGGTTTTTTGATCAAGAAGACGCTAAGGCAATATGAGACAAGATGTTTCCAAGGGATGATTAGACGATAATCAATACGTGCCAGCAGAAACACAGGGCCTGAGGAAAGGCAAGAGAAAAATCTCCAGTTCTACAATATATTTCTGGTGGTGGGAAATGCGCTGCTTTATATTTAAAAATTCAACAAAAAATAATCACATGTATAGTTAATATGGAAGTGAATATAAACAAATTATAATACAAATATTAAAAAATAAAATTAGTTATAGCCAAGGTTTCAAATCGGCAAATACAAGTCTCAATAGCTCTGATGATTTATTGTTAGAATGTATATAAATCTTTCTTTTACTAACAGAGTATCAGAAACATGGACAAGGAAGTTTATGACAAATAATCTTAGTCTTGTTTCGGCTCATAAATTTACCAAGGATGAACATTAATTGTGTGGGTTGTAGGTAGGACTAATGAGATACAATGGTCCCTCATTATTATTTGAACAGGAGGAAAGAGAAGCAAAAAAAAAAAAAAAGAAAGAAAGAATGCATTTTCTTTAAAAAACATTTTCTCTTGTAAACATTGCTCTTTGATAGCCCTCAACTCAGCAAAACAAAAACAACAAGGTCTTGGGAAAAAGAGGAAGTACGTGGCCCATCCTCAAAACTAGGAACCTCCTCAGAGAATGAAGCTCCTTCACCATTTTTCTCTAATCATCTACTTTTTTTTCCTTCCTCCACCCTGATCCATTTCCTTCAGGCCATCTCATGTGGTGCGGATCCACTTTCTCACAGGGAAGGGTTTCTCCTGGAGAGGAGTGTGGGGAGGAAGATGAGTCTATATGAAACGATCGCATTTCAGGCTGAGAATCGTTGGTGTTTGCAATTTTCTAAATTTTGTGAATAGTTACTGATTTTGAAGGAAATGATTACAACATAGGCTTAACATTTTTGTTTTCACATAGCCAGAATTGTCCTTAGCTGAAATCCAAAATTCTCAAGGTTAGGGCAGGAACCAAATGGTAGAGAAAATCCCAGCAAAAGAAGAGAAAAACCTAATGATGTGTCCTTGGCTTTCTTCACTTTGACAAGAACAAGATCTAAATAATAAGCTAGAAAACTTGTGCCTTATCAAATCATGACAACTGAAACCACAAACATGCTGAGTATCACTTTTTTATCACCATGCATTCAAAGAAAAGAGAAACAGTTAAATATGAGTCCAATATAATTACATTATTGTTTGTATTTTTTAATTCTATAATTTTCACCTTACCTTTTACAAGCCATCAAGAGCACAATTAAGTATAGGTTCATTTTTTAAAATGAAAAACTTAATGTTGTGAGGGTTTTTTTTGGGGGGACAGGGGGTATTGAAATCACTGCTGTTTACTAATAAAAATATTAAAATACATAGTATGAAAATGAAATATCTAAAGAAGCAGTATTTGAAAGAAAACAGTGACATCCATATCTGCAGAAAAATCGTCTTCGTTAGAGATTATTCGCTTCTAAGGTCTGTTTATGAGGCAGCTTAGTTCCCCATTTCTATCAAACAAGCGTTTCGGAGACATTGTAGTCTATACAATTTCCTTACATTCTTGAATGTTCTAGAGAAGTACCACACGCACTTAGAAAAAAGGGTGAAAACAACTAAAAGGGAGCTAGGTAAAATACTTTTTTACAATCAGGACATCTCTATAATTTTTTTTTTTACTTTTTATTCTTGGTGAAGTCAAAAGCCACTTTAGTCAAAGGAACTAAATGGAGGGCATGTAGTTTTCTGGTTCTTTAGATTGATTTCTTTTTGAAACACTGAGCGTTTGCACAAGGAAGATGTGGTAGAACTATAAAGGAATGTTCAACATGCGTGCACTGGCTAAAAAATGTGGAATAAGAAATGAAAAACATTATTTTATACTATGCACTGCAAGAGCCATGTAAGTTACAGAGTATTTAAAAATAAGCCAGAATAAAAGTTAATATATAAAGAAACATAATAGTCTAATATTCAAGTAATGTAAGTAGGAAAACCATATATGTAAGAGAGAAATAACACAAATATAGGATTTCTTCCATTTATTTTCCATATCCTGCAGGTTCTATATTGCTGATTGAAAAGCATACCCCTGATACAACATTGTAGGAGGCTGTAGTAAGAGAGGTATTTGAGAAGAATGTGGAAAAAAATCCTTTTTAAAGACATATTTTAAGATTTTATTTATTTATTTTCAGAGAGGGAAGGGAGGGAGAAAGAGAGAGAGAGAGAAACATCAATGTGCGGTTGCTGGGGGTCATGGCCTGCAACCCAGGCATGTAGCCTGACTGGGAATCGAACCTGTGACACTTTGGTTCACAGCCCATGCTCAATCCACTGAGCTATGCCAGCCAGGTTAAAGAAATTTTTATAGGATGGCAAGGAAAGCTAGTATACCTGTGCCGTTTAACAGAATAGCTTACGTACTTCGCGGAAAGCGAGGGGGGTTGTCGTTGACGTCCGTGAGGGTCACGGTGACCGACGTGGTTCCCGAGAGTCCTCCGTTTTGACCAACCATATCCTTTGCCTGGATAACAAGCAAATACTGGTCTTTAGCCTCTCTATCCATGTTTGGAAGGGCGGTCTTGATGACTCCTGTAAAATTTCAAATCCCAGTAAAATGCATCGTGATTCACTGGATTCATACTGGCCAAGAACACTGTCATAGGTAGCATGACCCTCTCGAGAGGTTGCCTGTGGTGCTTTGTTTGTTTTTATTCATTTTAATGCACACTAACAGCCAAAGGGATGTGATGATTACATACAATATTACAAAACAGAAAATGCTATAACGTGGAAGAGGAGGGCTTCTCAGCATTACAGAGGACTATCTTTAAGTTTTATGGAATATAGTTCAGGAAATACCAAGCTATAAATAAACAAAAGTAACTTCTTAGCTAGAACAATGGGCAGTCGCATGTACGAGTATATGACCATAAACCTCTTTCCTTATCTTCTCTTTCACCCTCTCCGACAATTTCATTCCCAGTGATGTGAATCCCCTTCAGCTACGGTCCCTACTATTTCTTTCTTGCAGAATAATAGGAATGCTCTATACGGAAAATGGGAGTTGTTTATGTTTAATAAGCAAAGCACCATTTCAAACGGTGGCTATGATGCTGTGTGAGCTTATGTTGTATCTGAAGGTCTCAGAGGAGACTGACTGTGCTAATAGAAATCAACACCACTGAAAATATTGGCATGTTTGGTTGCTGTGTGTTTCTAATCAATTGCATTTACTGTCGATAGCCCTTAATGCTTTGGGTATATGACGAATTGATTTCAGAATCTCCTGTTGCTTGATGGGAAAACTTGACTCAACACTCACTGTTGCAGTGAATAAGTTATTTTATATTAATAACTACATAATTTATTAAGTAAGTTCCTTAGGCTATGTCTAATTAGGGGATTAAATTTAGTTTAACTATGTTAAGTGTAAATATATAAAGTGGCATATATGCCTAATATAATATACTTAGTATATGTACATCTGGAAAATATTAATGAAAAATGTATTTATTTAATAACGGCCTACAGTCCTTGAAACTAGTAATATGAGGCCATCTTCAGTACCATGTTTTGCCATGTATAATGCTCACATTTTTGCCCAAATTTCTGAGGGAAAAGACACACATTATACATGGGTATAATGATTACATGCCATGGGTGCAATAATGGGTAGCAATCACGTGTATAATGTGCACAAAATGTGAGTGCTCATTACACACGGCAAAATATGGTAATTAAATACAAGGAATCCTGACTCCTACTTAATCCTTTCTTGCACTTTGATATTTCCAACAAAGACAATGCCCAACCTTTACACCTAGGACACCTCTGTTTATTGACTAAGCTTGAAAAAATGCCCACTCTGCTTTATTAAACAGATTCCAACGTCCAGCAGGAAGTTAGAGTTTAAATCCTACTGACTCAGACGTGGGGTGGAGGAAGCCTGATATTATGGGCTTTTCAAGGGAGAAAGTGGGTGTTTTGATAGAGGATGGCTCTTCGGGAAGAAAATAATTACGTACAAATTTGGATAAAGATGTTCAGCATAAAATTAATTTCATATCCATCCATACTTTTTAAATTTAATTTTAAACAGTGTGAAAGCTGCTTCTCCAATGGATACATATAATAATGGCCTGTGCACCTTATATCTCAGCTCTAAGTTATCAGTCTAGGTTCTGCTGCCCTAGGTACAGGCCTGCCCTGTACCTCAAAATATTACATGGTTTGGTAACTACTCTAGAGGTGGGGGACAGATGAGGCAAGCTTTTCAATATTTAAGAATAATTTAAGCGATGAATTATTGGTTACTAAGATTCCAAGTTAGGTAATGCTCTTACTGTCTTAAGGAACATTTTTGTTTAGATGTAGCACTGGCTCTCAAATACAAGCACAGACACATGCACATGCAAACACCAACAATAGCAGCGATATTTTAAGCATTTAAGTTATACTTTCAGTAGGCTGGGTTTTTCTATTGCTGTTTTAACCTTCACTTATTCTAAAACACTAATTGTGTTGGACATTATCGCTACGATCACAGTAACAGAGTCACTTTTAATAATGCCTTTACTGCATTCTTTTGGCCATTTACATGCTGATGGCTCTATGAATATGGCATGCTTGTTCCTCAATCCATCTGGTAACTCTAATATATCACTCAATGAGCACTGAGCGAACTAACACTCACTGTGGCCAACTTCAAACAGTCTTTGACTAACCGTCCTAGAATTTACACATCTCCATCTCTCTCTCCTCTCTCTCTTTTACTATTTTTTATTTTAATTATCTCTTTTTTTTATATTTGTAATGCTTTCTTAAATAAGTTGAGCACTCAATATCAAAATTCTTACCAAGAAGTATGTTTCATCTTGATGGCAAAATACTGAATTTAGAAAAGAATTTCCTACACATTCATTTTTACATTTTAATTTCTGCTCATTGTCCGTTTTTCGTCCAGTATCACTATCTGTGAGTTTTCATCCCTGCACGCTTGTTGTGCTGGAGAGAGGCCCAGAGCACCCCAACCAGCCAGCCAAGAAAACACACCAGCCTCATCTTCTCAGGGACCGGCTCAGTGGCATTCTTTTTGCAGGAAATACAGAATATTTAGCAGAGAACTCCAGCAGTCAGAGTCACTCATTTTTCACACCTGTAATTGTCTCTTTACAACAGTTCCTATAAATAACACGTTTCCAAAGCGCAAAAAAAAATCATGACAAGGTTTGCAGAGTAATGCAGATGGCAAAGGTAATTTCTAAATACCTCAAATAGGAAACATGTTTTTGACAAGAATGAAATAATTGGGAAAGAACTGAATTTAAATAGGGACATGCAAAAAAATGATAGATTTAGAGTTCTGTGACTTTAGTTGGCTTTTAGCTTTTAAGCCTAAACTGTTTGCATTGGGGAAAGAAGTCCCAGGTGCTGGACGAGGTTCACACCTGCTGTGTATCATAGAGACACACAGGCGCAAAGCAAGTTGTTAGCACGACAGTTCTATAGTGGTGAGGACAGTCACGCTAGTCAGGTCCCCCCAGTTCTCTGAGTGTATGGAAGACGACACTACTTAATTTCAATAACCAATCATCTCAGCTACCCTAACAAGAAGAATATATCCTGTAGGTCTTTAGGAGAGACTGGATGAGACTTCAGGCTTTCTGACTAATTTTTCATCTGACCCAGTAACCCAGAAATGAACTTCTCATTTATTCATAATCTGTGTTCACAAAAGCTATTATGCATGTAAATTCCTCATTGTCACCGTTCAACAACTGCCTGGTTTTTAGACAGAAATACATTTTTAGATGAGTCTCTAATGCCCTGCAAGTCACTGATGATGGATTTTTTTTTCCGCACATACTCTTACAGTGCGAGCTTCTTAAGAATTTATGTGTGTACCACATTAGTGTTGGGACCCAAACGCTCACTGGAGCCTTTGTTCCTGCTCACTCGGGTTTCGCATTGGTCTCGGGAGTCTGGGCCATCACGTGCCCCAGGGAACGTGATGCTGAGGGCATGTGTGCTGCGTGGGTGCAGCATCCATTAGATGTGCGAGGTGAATCCCTTCCTAATCATTCCTATTTACTTCCAAAGTTTCTGTCTAAGCCTTTATCACTGGGCCTGTCTACTTTTAAGTGAAGCGTAAAAAAGAACCCTAAAAAGATGGAGAAGAGCCAGCAATGGTAAACACAAAAGCTTCTGGAACATCAAAGAATGCCAGAGCTGGCACAAAGAATCTGAAGAAGAGACTCTCGGAAGGTGGGAAGGGAGGTTTTCAGCAACCCCGCCAGGAGCAAGAGGCCCCCGCACCATGAGCCCCGCCTCAGTGTGGAACACGAGGGAAGGGCCTGTTGGGAAGGATGGTTTGTCACATGCTGGGCATGGCAGAGGTAGGTCTGCAGTTCCCCAGACACAGTTTATTCTGGTATCAACGTTTATGACTATACTATCTTCCATGTGGACAACTGTAAGCCTACTTTCACACCCCTCCCCCGGCCCCGTGCACTGCTGGGACCGTGTAGTCGCACCTCCACGTCTACAAAGAGCTCCTGCATGACAAGTGCTACTCAACACTCGATCCACTTTCCAGGGCTGTCTTCACGGCTTTGCGACCCGGGCAGTCACACTGGTCCCAGGCTTGGTTGCTCGCCCTGCTGACAGCATCCTCAAATCCTACTAATTTTAGAACAAGAAGCCTGCATGTTCATTTTTGAACTGCCAGTTAGGTAGCCGACCTGCCACGTGTGAAATAGACCCCCCAAAAATGGGATCTCCTCGCTTGCAGGTTTGGAGAATAGATGAACACATTGCAATAATAACCCTCAGTCTGTCAGCAAATGGGGGGACATCGTGAAGACAGGTGACAGGAATCTCTGCAGTCAGTCCTTTTGACACCCCCTTGTCTTGTGCCTGGTGCTGTTCTATCTGCTTGTTGCAATAAATTGTCCCCATTGGTTTCTGCAGCTACTCACATTCTTGTTTTATGGGTGGAGAAATTAAGGTAGAGAATAGAGCGCCCTCTGGTGACTGGGCCTGTGGACGGTGCCGTGATGGACCATGAGCTTCGATGGAGATTTTAGCAAAGCCAGGTTAATGATAGGCAATTAATAAGTGATAATAATGATTATTAATATTATCCTTAATAACAATAAATTTAATATTCTTTTTATAGAAGTAATCAGAAGTTGAAAAACTTGAGAGAGATATGCTTACTAGTGATTTCCTGGTCTATTTTCTAACAATCTTGAATAAGCATATTTTCAGTAATTTTTTCCTGTCAAAACTTTTACTTCTCAAAAACTCTGGGATTTGGAGATGAAGAAAATTATGTTATTGCTCATATAAATAAGAATAATACTGACACCAGGTAAGGAAGCCTAACTCACATTTAATATACAGTCAGTCCTTCATGCCCTTAACTGAAAATTTTCCACCTTTGTAAGAAAAATACACTTTGGAGAGTAAAAAGTGCATTCTCCATACTATCAATTAGCAGAGAGGATAAAAATTCCCAGAACAGATCTGTACTAATGATTACAACATGAATCCTAAATAAAATCCTAAGTAAAATAAAACTAAACTTTCTTCCTCTCTTATCATATGCAATCCTTTAGAATTGGAAATTAAAGTTGAGTTTAAAGTACTACTAATGTGATCCCACGCTACTGGGACCTATTGACTACTGCCCAGTCAGTGGACCAGGGAGGCATTACCTACACAGGGCTTATGGGAAACCGATTAGCTTCCAACAAAGCTATGATCGCAAGCTCACCATTAACAAGCAAAATATTTAACCCTTGGAGTTGGTACAGTACCTGCTATTTTTAGACAGCTTATATAATGCCAGAATGTATATTTAGTGAGCAGATTGTCAGAGACTTGTCATTGTCTTTCTAGGCTGCAAAGCGTGGATATGTAAGGGAACGGGTGGGTGTCTGAATCCAAGTTCTCAGGTCTGTCATTATATCCGCCACTAGCACGCCTTCTCCGTTCACAGGATTCACATCACAGACAGAATCCTTTCCCTTATTTCCCCTTCACTACTTGCCTGATCAGAACTATTTCTTCTCCACCAGACTCTCCCAGTGGCTTCGGAATTCCACCACTACCATTGGTGAAAAACCTAGAATGCAGTCTGAAAATTCTAATGAATGATGAGCTAGACTTAAATGTACTCCTCTGTTCATGCATGAACACAACCGCTATTCTCAAGACACTTAAATTTTTATCTCCTGCAGTGATTTGAGAATGAATTAATATTGCCGTTATTTAAAAGACATGAAAAACAGGGTAACTGGCATTAAAATATTCATTTAGGATCATAGGCACCATCAAATATTTATAATCCTAAACTTGGCTATTTGAAGAATCCTTCTCCATGATAAAGGTAACATTGTTAAAACACAAGGGAGTTTTGGATTTTCACAGGGACGGAGAGAATCCATGGCACACGCCCACCCAACTTCATACCCGCCCCATCTTCCCGACACACAGAGCCAGGAAGCAGGACTGATAAAATATTATCTGATGGCCGAGACACTGCTCCCAATTATAGGCTGACTTCATGTAAACTACTTCAGCTTAAAAGCAAAACACAACACCCAGCCAAGCGACCACCTATTCTATCCAGGCAATCTTGCAAGTCAATCTTTTCCTCCTAAAATTAAAAAGGAGCCATTTAAGTGAGCCTTTGATTTAGCAGGTTCTCTTCCTGTCTGTTATGTTTATACTCATTTGCCTGAGAAATGCAGCCTCTGGGAGGGAAGCTGAACCCACCACTAACTCCGGCACATGGCGGGGAGATGTCTGCTTGGGAATCAGGCCTCGCCGTATGTAATTCCTCAGTGAATTCGTTATAGGAGCCAAGCATAAAACGCAAAGGTGAATAACCAAGAATTTCAAAAATGGTCAGGAGGTAGCAGAGGAAGGAGTTTTTAATAGAAAGTATCTTATAGCTAGGAATACTGATAAATACTTTCAGAATATTCTTAAAAGGTGCTATTGTCTTTATAAATAATATGCTACTTATTACCATAGTACACATGCAGAGAGAAGCACCGTGAACACGTTAGCAGTGCCAACTATGCTGGGTGAAAATAACTAATACTAATTCTATGCCAGGGTAGAAATGGTGACTTTCTGAGGAGTGTTGCGTTTCGGTGTTTACCTGTCTTGGGTTCCACCGAGAAGTACGGCTGTCCTTGCAGAATGCTGTACACCACGCGGGCGCTGTTGCCATAAGTAGGGTCGTCAGCGTCTGTGGCTGTCACTTGCACCACCGAGGTCCCTACATGCCAACCCAAAAACCAACGAATTAAAAACTTCCTAATGCCACCAAACACAGGCCCTCACAAAAGGCTGGTAATTGCACATTCGATCTCTCTTTCATTTTGTGCTTTTCTTGTTTTGAGGCCCACGGAAATCTGACAGCGCTATGATAAATGCTAATTAAGCCCTTGGAAATATTTAAGGGGCATGAAAAGAGACTGGCAAAAAAAAATGCGAGATTGATGATGCCTATTAGACTTGGAAATACTCAGAATTGGATGGGACTAAAATTTCTGGCATCTCATCCATCAGAGCGAGGTAACAAGTTTTTATCAAGAGCAATCTCTCGGAGTCTCAATCACTGTCCAGAAGACAGCGTGACAAAGAAGAGCATCCTGACACTCAAATCTCAGCGTTGCAGCTAAGCAAAGCCAGACAGACAGGAGCTGAAACTTCATTAATGGAATAAAGAATACTGGATTAATTAGTTGGCTACCCTATCTCTTCAGTAATAGTTTTACTGGTTTTTCATTTGTTTCTACTAATTGATGAAATGCAAAAAAGCATGAAATGAAAATTTCAACCAAACCTCCGGAAGGAGGAAAAAACATGACAATTTTAATAATTGCATTATTTGTTGTTTTTCTATATTTCAGATGCCACAATGTCATGTTGCTTCTTCATTCTACCATATATGCAGTTATTCCCCGGGGGAAGCACTCAGAGTGCTCCATCCTCTTTGTTTCTATTCAGAATGCGATACTAAAAATAGTAAGCATGTTTGATTAGTTGATGTATTTAAGCATGTTATTTTATCAATTATATCCTATCTGATGGGAATGGGACAAGTCCTCTTTTCAGTGATTCTTCTAAGGTTCAAGTGGGGCTCTAATAATTCCTTGAAAATATGGCATTTTTCACCTAACATTTCCTTTAGATGCACTCCTACCTAGACCTCCCTTTCTAAATGCCTTAAATAGATCACTTGTGTCCATTTTATGATACATCTAAAATTTCCCTGACCATTTCCTTTAAAATTAGGTGGAAATTATGAAGTGATATATATATATATATAATATACCATCTTCAAAAAGTTTCTGAAGGTGGTTTGTGCTGTTGTTTTATTTTGTTTTTGTTTTCTCTCTCTGTCTCTCTTTGGTAGATGCCTGGTAGGGCCAAATAATGTATATTTGAAAATCATTTTAAGAATTAAATTTTGATTTATTTAAAAATGTTAGAATCAATGATATTGATATTTTCTATAGCCTCTGTAATGCACCATCTTACAGGTCTATTCATTCTAGTGATATAGTTAGTATTGATTTCCTATTTCATTAGAAAGGAAAAAAATTAAATAAACAAAATGATGAAAAGTATACTTCAAGTAATATGATTGTGTATAATATATATTTTTCTGAAGTGTTCATTAATTTACTATATACCTGGGGACACACCCTCAAATAACTTTAAATTTCCCATGCTTATCTATGCTCTCCTGGCAATGAATAAGCAATCCTTAGGGCTTTTGTGTGTTTCAAATCTTATCATTAGTAAACAGGTCATGGACAAAGTAACCCTGAATATTAAACACTGAAGGCTTGTGCTATACATACCACACCAGTTCGTGGTTGTTATAACTATTTGGTTAGAATTAAATACTTGGACAAACAGTGGCCCACTAAAAATCCATACAACCTATTTTATGTAGAACTCCATTATACTTAGTTCAAATGTTCATATTAACCCAGTGATCTCAATTAGTGTCAATTCAATCCTGAAGACTTGAAAAGCATTTTCTGAAAAGTCGGAACCTGTCGGAATCAAACAAAAATCTAAGATAATGTGTGTCCATAAAGATCATGCTATGTGCTGTCACGGTGACACCATTGCCACCAAAGTGACACGCCATGCTTTAGCCTCTAAAACAAGGTTCCCATTAATCCAATTTGCATGTCAGAGTCCACGGAGGAAAGGAAAAGAAGGCCTCAGCAAGCCGATGGAGAGCTCCCACGGTGCCCGTGAAAATCATGGAGCTGAACCGAATTGCTCTACCGCTCTACAAAACTCCCTGCTTTGCTAAACATCACTAATCTGGGTTGGGGGGGGCAGTGTCCGCCTTCTCTTTTTTCTAACCCCCCCCAAATCATGTTGCTGTTGCCATCACTGTTGTTTTTGTTTTTGCGGTTAAGCAACAACAGCACAAAACACTCGGAAGGTGCGGGCTCCACAGAGTGTGAACGAGGCTTGTGTGGTCAAAGAAACGCTTACACAGAAGCTACTCGGGTGAAAATACTGACAGTGTGGGTCAGATTTTTCCTGACCACAGCATCGATTCTGTTGGCAGCAAGCACCATGGCGCCCCGAATAATCTTCCCTCCCCCATCTGGTAGGAACAGAAGTCTCGGGTCATTGAGTTCTGATTTCCCCTAAAGGGCACACAGGGCACACAACTCCACAGTGCTGGAGTTTCACTTCCCAGCACGGTGGTAGATGTGCTGATTGACTCTCGGGATGAATGGAATGACCTTTACTGAAAGTAAAACAAGTCACACTGGGTAAAATCTTCATGCGTGGAAATACAAATTGAATCATTGTTTTAAATAAGCACCCTCCTTTGATACTAAAAACAACAGGAAATGAACATATAAAGCAACCGGTCTCTATTCCGGCCCCATAACCTTTTCTTGTTTTATGACATCATTCATACTTAAACTGTACACTGGCTGAAACTACTCCAAAGGTACCACACATGAAATTTAAAACAGAGTGTAATATTTGATATAAAGTATATACTAGAAGTACCTGACTTTCTATTTTTCCAGTAATTGGGCCATTTCCAAAGGCCTTGGAGCAAAACAACCATCATTCCTTTATATATCTCAGACTGAGGATCACTTTCCCATTATTACAAATTCAATAAAAAATTTTCATGCACTTAAGTTTCTGGAGAAAATAGAAAAAGATTAGTGGGTCCACAAGGATGCACATTTGTGGTTCAAGAATGCTCTGCAGCCAAGAGACCGGCAGATTCAAAGGACAGTCTGGCCGGCCACCGACAGGCTGCCCAATGCACCGACCACAGACAGATGCTTAGAATAGTTCATCATTATCCTGCTATCAGGCGAGAGAAAATAAAAGATCATCATAGGGCTGTGTCTGAGATTTACTTTTTTAACTTGTAGTTATTATTTAACTTTTAGGCATCGTTTCAGTTATTATTTTACCTTCTGTTTTATTTTTATTGACTGATGTTAGAGAGACCGAGGAAGGGAGGAAGGGGAAGAGGGAGAAAGAGGAGGGAGAGACATCATTTTGTTGTTCTGCTCATTTTGCATTCATTGATGGACCCTCGAAGGTGCCCTGACCGGGGATTGGACCCATAACCCTGGCATGTGGGAATGGCATTTTTAAATTTTAAATGGAAAAGGGAATGTAAAAACTAAGTCATTCTTTGAAGACATTGAGATAGCTGGTAAAAGGACAACCCCCCCCCCAATTATCCATAAAATAACATAACGTGTTGAATACTAGGATCTGGGTTCTTGCTACCTAACACACCCCCAACGATGCCCTCACCATAACTGGCAACTGTTAGGCAAAGACTAATGTGATTTGTTTTTCAGTACCTGGGGTGATTTAATTTTACATACAAATCCCCTGAAAGCAGACATTGCAAACACAGCGTGTTCTTTACTTACCCACAGGAGACATTTCAGGAATCCCGGCAGTGTAGGGGCCGTCCAGGAATTTGGGTTCATTGTCGTTGATGTCCTGAATCTTGATGACGAACTCCGACTCGGGCTCCACCGGCTTGTTGGTGAGCCTGTCCAGCGCCTGGGCTCGCAGCGTGTAGTAGGCCTGCTCCTCGCGGTCCAGCCTCTTGGTGGCATGAATGTCCCCCGTGTTCTCATCAATAATGAAAATGGAACTCGCCCCTTCGCCTGACAAGATGTATTTGATGGAACCATCTCCTTTATCAACATCAGAGTGAAGCTGGTGAAAAATTCACGTGAGACGAGATTAACTTACAAGGGAGTCCGTGATACGGAGATACGCAAAAATAATTCTTAGGCCGAGCAGCGGCACACAAAGGTGCGTGGGCCTCGGAAAGACAGGCTTGCGCTCACTGTGCACCGTGGACAGGCTACGGGACAGTGTCATCTTGCCCTGGCGAGCAAGACAATTTCACCTCCTCCTGTAAACAATCTCCCGACTAAAAGCATTTCCCATCACTCCCAAAGACAGGCACGTGGGGTGTTATTTCTGGCTGGGGTCTGTCCTTGCCAGGGTTAGACATTTTCCTTGAACTGAGCACTCAGTAAACACGTATCATGGGTTGATTTGGTCTCATTCCAAGCAAAGGGACTTGCTATAGAATGTTTGTAAATGGGGATCTGCTCTGTTAATTACTAGGCTTAGAAATCACCGCATTCTTTAAGGGGGCCCTGCCCTCCCACCTCTTTCTCCTGTCCATGAGTATCAATTATGGATATAAGTCCATCACTACGTGGGTCTCCACATCCTGTTCTATACTTTCACATTTGAAGCTGAAAAAAATTGCACCGCTCTCTGAAGTCGGAATTTTAAATCAATATGTGCCTAAGACTTCAACGAAAACCTTTCTGGAAATACCAAGAACTGCATTCGATTTGCACGGTTAACCCCAGCGTCAGCAGCCGGGCCAGCGCCTGATTTGCATTTCATGTCTGGATCTGTCCCTCCAGTGTGTCAGAACATCGTGTTGAACAGAGGAACCTCAGGAAACTCAGAAATAATTACACATTTTCCTGAACTTCATAACCTGCAAGATCCAGGACTCAGGCTGTCATTTCAACCATCTCTCGTTCCCTAGAACTGCTATCAGTCCGGACTTCAATGAGTATGAACGCAAAAACCCGATTTACCAAATAACCACCATTTTTTTTCGTTGCCCTACAGACCTCTGGGTCATTCTTTAAAAGACAGGGAGCTAAAATTATAAAAGATGGAAAATGACTGTGGACCCTGTATGCTCGGTGCATTTTCCTCCTGGGGCAGCTATTGAGGAGAGTGCTACTTTGCACTATAGAGCTCTTGTTGTTTTTTTTTTTAAAGATTGTATTTGTTTATTTTTAGAGACAGGGGGAGGGAAGAAGAAAGAGAGGGAGAGAAACATCAATGTGTGGTTGCCTCTCATGTGCCCCCTCCTGGGGACCTGGCCTGCAACCCAGGCAGGTGCCCTGACTGGGAATCGAACCGGCCACCCTTTGGTTCGCAGGCCCACACTCACTCCACTGAGTCACACCATCCAGGACTGCACCACAGATCTATTAACTGCTCCTTCCACTGCACTGGAACAGCTATGCTTATATTCTGCTTCAGGATATTCAAATACCTGATTCCTCCCTTAGTTGCTGTAGTTTTTAGTCAGGACTAAATAATACAGAAAAAAATGAATTTCTGGCAGCAGTGATAATTTATACTGGTTCAATGTGGAATGATGTAGCGGATCCTGTCCCAGATGCTTATCCAGCACGTGGAGAAGCTGTAGTCTAGAAACAGAGTGAATTACTTAATTTTCTTAAGTCATTCTCAGCGTTACTCTTACATCCATGTCTCTGTCTAGTTTTAGATGAAGAAAGCTGAGAATTATTACGGTTTGAATTACTGCGGGCTTCCTGTGCGCCAGGCGCAGCTCTCAGCAGTCCCCACGTACAGCCAGCTGTCTGTGGCTGCCCCAGGCTTGCAAGGCCCGGCCAGCGGGAGAAAAGCCCAACGGCCCCCTCTCTGGTGGGACCCTCCCACTGGAGCACGCAACCTGCCCCCAGCTGAGAGCTCCCCACATCTTAAAGAAACTCAGTTCCTCGGGGTGGGGTCCCATCCACACCCTGCATGACTTACCAGAAGGGTCCTTTCATGGCGTTCTGTAACAGCCCTGAACTCTAGCACTGCAAAAACATAGCAAAAGCTTGGGTCCTGAGACAAAGGCAGGTGATGGGTGCAAACGCGTGGTTTTTAAGCTGCCAACACCTCAAGATCTGCCCCTGTGCCCACTTCTCGTGGGCATTCTCCTAAGGGCTCCTCATGCCCGGCTGTGCCTCTCTGGGTCAGGAGTGTGTACACGTGATGGCTGGCCGTGGTGTGAAATGTTCAGGAAGATTCGATGACCACAGACATAATACACAGGCCACACCTTTCATCAAAGGCCTGCTGTGTCTCTAAATCTGATTAGGGAGTGGCATTTACAGAACGGGCCCTTCTAATTCATTTAACTGATCCCTGCCAGCCCACTGCTCTTTCCAAGGCTTCTCCAGTTAGACAAGGACCCCATTTCTGCCCACCCCCGAGTCTCACACACACACACAGACACACACTCACATGCACACACATGCACACTCTCACACACTCTTGCACACAAAGATATACACTACCTCTCACACACACATACTCTCTCCCTCACGTACTCACACACACACACACACACACCTGTTTCAGGAGCCCTTGAACTTTACCCTCCGCCCCAGCACCTGGCACTTTGCCCTTAGCAAGGACCATCTCTAGGCTTGGCATCACTGCCAAACCCGCCAGCAGAAAATTGCCTTGAGTCTGAGCCCCACGTCCCTGGAAGGTCAGGAGAAGCTGTGAACTTGAAAGTGGATGGCCGACTTTGAAGTGCTGAGATGCGTGCATGATTATCAGATGCTGCCAGACAGTTAATCTGAGAGACGATTTACTCTATAATAATCTTAGTAGGTGGGGTGAGACCCACGATGTTAGTGAAAATCTACCATCCTTTTGCTCTGAAAAAGTGTGTTTAGCAAAGAAAAATGTTGCGAGTGTAGAGCTACCAAACGGCATTCTCAAGTTGACATGTGTCTATGGAGGCACGGGTGCCTGGAGACACAGGGACGCAGCCCCACGCAACAGGCTGTGCACAACCCTCATCCATGGCTGCCTCTTACAAATGGGGAAGTACCCCACTCCACCGCACAGACCTCTGGCCGGGGTGGGGGTACATTCTATGACCCCACAGCATGGCAAAAATCAGTAAACAACACATGAAGCACACAATCAAAACCACATTTTATTCTATTGGGAGCAGAGGAGAACTCACAATGTCAGGCCGATTTCACTTGCAAATACCCTTGGAAACATCGTATGAATCATCTAAAGAACAACAAAAACAACAACAACAGAATCCTGGTTCATTAGTCACTAGACAAAATTCACCTGTGCTGCCTGGGTTCCGAGCCCTTCTCAAAAATAGTTGCTGTGACACCACAGTAAATAATCACATAGTTATTAATTATTATTATTATTGCAAATGAGCACAAAGAATGAGAAGCACAGACTCCTTATCCGAGTCTGACTCAGAAGGTGGAAGAAAGGGCAGGGAAGGGAATGCAGTCATTGTGTGAGTGCTCGGCCTGCTGTGGACGCACAGAATGGGCCTCACTCTCTGTCAGCACCGTGCATGGAGCCACGAGTCAGACCACGCTGGACTCTTCACGGTCTACCTGGGCCACGAGTGTGGAGCACACTTCACAGGCGCCCTGAAACGTAACATGTTTCACAATTCGCTGTGGCTCCTGCTCGATGGGACACCCATCCACATCCCTGTTATGTCAACCCTCTCTTTCCATTTTCTCTGAGCAGTAATCCTAGTTTGGAATCTTAACGTCTTTCACTTGGGCTGCTACAAAACTGCCCAGTTATTCTCCTTTAATAACTCACGTCACCTGGGCTGTCACTGTGCTTGTCAGAAAATATCTCCCGAAAATATACATTGAACTATATCACACCCTCATGAGATACCTTGGATTGCTTCCCATGATTGATGGATGCAACCCGAATTCTAAGCACGGGGCTCCATGTGGCCATATGCTATTGCCTTGGTTCTCTCTTCCGGATCTCCAAAGCCACGCTGGGTTCACCAGTGCCTCGGCATTGCAAGCATTTCCATCCTTTCCAGAATTTCTCTCCTATCCTCCGCCTACCTGCCTACCAATGATGTTCACATTCCCTTGAGCTGAGGCCTTCACAGTCCCCCCACTTTCCTCCATGGCATGTTGGAATTCCTACAACAGAATGCATCTAATTCTGCTTTATACTGAAAAATCTGCTTTCGCTGTTTTCATATCTAATCCCTTCCTTCACTTATAAACTCGAGAGCTAGATTCTTTTTATCACCATACTCCACATTCTCAATAAACAATGCACTGTATTAAATTTAGCAAATGTATAATCCACTTTGTAAAAACAGTCATGCTTGTTCTATTTCAATTTCTCTCCTTTTAGGTTTTAACAGCATTAGGCAAAAAGAAAACACACTTAACTAAACAAACGAAAACCACATCCTGTGTATCTGGTTTGTTCTCCCTACTCCTCTGAGCTGCCCAGTTAGAGGACAGACACGTTGTTTTGTGCCAAGGCATTCACATGCCTTTATCACCCAGAGACAGTGCCCTGTAGGGGCAGCTGTAATTTCTCTCACACACACACACACACACACGAACACAAACACATACACACTCTCCAGGAGCCTTTTGTAAACCCTTGGATGCCCCTGGATGACAGAATCAACATGTTCTTGATTAATTTTTAGCCACCACTTATTTCTTTCATTTAAGATTACAAAGACCAAAGCTACAAACAGACCCATGCACTGCAGTGACGACAATTTTCTACAAGTTTTTAATCCGCAAGGGCCTGATACACACTAATGAACTACCTAGTCTAGTACTCTTGTCTGCCTAAAGAAAAATCTGAAAATGGCAACTATTCCTCAATTTAGTAAAGACTAAGACAAAAAAATCAAATATATTGATCAAGTTTTCTTCCTTCCAGGAACATCTGAACTCCACTCGTTACCATCTTACTGATGATCTGGTCTTCACGCTCAGTCTCCTCCTCTTTGAAATGGAGATTAAATCTCTGCACTTGCCCTTGACTGAAATACTGTGTGTGGCAACTACTGGAGATGATGCAACAGAATGTAACCCCTAAGGGTATAT